TCCTTTGTCATTCCTAACCAACACACCCCCATGATGATATCTTATGACTATATATTCATCCATCTGCATAGAAAACAGAACATAATCATTTTTTACACTACCTTAATATTAATTTACAATATCATACAACCAATCAATTTTTATCAATATTACTATACAACTGTAACACACTCGGTTATTTTAAATGGCTGCATTGCTAAAAAATTGGGGTTTTTTTTGTAATCACTACACATAGCAACTTAAAATAACAACAAGGAGACCACATGTAACAAGTTCCAAAAATATTCTACCAAAGGGGACCACATAAAAAAAAAACCCTAACCATCTCTTGCCCTTAACCGCACATGGGGGACCACATTAAGAAAAAAACACAATGAACTAAAAGGATAGAGGGACCACAGATAATAAAGAAAGGGTTTCTCTCACGTACCTTGCACGAATGTCACCACAGTCACAACCGTTTTAAGGATCTTCACCCTAAATCACACTACTTCCAAAAGCTTGCAATTGCAGAAGCCACGTACAGGAACAAAGCACCATAGGTCACCAACCTTCACTGCAAATGAAGCTCACGAGCTGAGGAAATGGGGGAGGAAATGGCGGGTATGGACAAGTTACTTGTCTGACTGTGTTAACTAAGTCAACAACAAAGGTTCAAGAAGTCTATGCCAAAAACGACGTTGTCCCCTTCTATACACCTGATACAGCCTTCCAATGTAAGATGACGTCGTTCCTTTCTCTCCACGTGGTTGTGACGTTAGTGACTCAGCCACTTAACGTTCCAGCTGGCCTCCGTCAAGTGGGCCGTCACATTCCATGTAACAGAAGGACAAACGTGTCCCTTTTTTTCAAAAATCAGACACTGAAATGTGCTTTTTTTTTACCGAGGAACTAAATTGTACTTCGTGAAAATTTCCAGGGACGAAAAAGGGTATTTACTCATATAAGGCATATGGATTTATTTCTTCTTGACACCCCATTTCAATTTTTTATATAAATGCTCATAACAATGACTGGGTTGTACGAATTGAGAAAAAAGCTTGCACCTTTTTTTTTTATGCTGCTGAAGCGCTATTGAAGAAAAAGAAAGGGGGGAGAGAGAAAGAGTGAGAGGCAGTGGAAGAGAGAAAGGGGTAAAAGAATTTATTTTATATTGAAAATTTCCATTGTTAGATGATATTGTAATCTAACGGTATTGAAAGGGGTAGGCAAAGGTAGGCAAAATAAGAGTAGGTAGAATAACATATCATATATATATATATATATATGGTATAGGATCTTTTGACACTAGTGTCAAACTTTAAAATTTGACACCAAATCATAATCGTTGATTTTTGCCGATCAACGGTTATCATATTGGGAATTAATAATTAATTAATAAATTTGATTCCCAATAAATGATATCCGTTGGTTGGCGAAAATCAACGGTTAAGATTTTGTATCAAATTTTAAAATTTAATACCGGTGTCAAAGGATCCTGCCGCTATATATATGAGAAATGATTAACTTTTTTTTGGATATTGAGAAATGATTAACTTAGAATAACAAATCTTGCACTGCATCTTAAATCATATTTTATATCCGATCATATAAAATATTTTTAATTTGTTCTTAATATATATATATATATATATATATATATATATATATATATATATATATATATATATATATATATATATATAAAGAATTTGTTCTTAATTTGTATATCTGATCATTTTTTTTAGTTTAAAATCAAATGAATTTCACCACTTGCGTTAATGATATTTGATTCAGGTACACCGTTGATTTAATTATTAATGGTGAAGATTTTCTCACATGACATGATCATGTTAAATTACACATGAGAAGATCCATTTTCAATTATTAATGGTTAAAATTTTCCCACATGACATGATCATGTTAAATTACACATGAGAGGATCCATTTCCATATATTTTTAAGGAGAATCTAAGTACACTATTCATTTCTCCGTATAGTGCCCAAGCATGTTTGAATATATAATTAGAAAGAAGTCTCCATAAGAAGGATGCACTTTTATAATCATTTAGTGAGAGACATTTTTTTTGTGAGTATAAAATTTAAGGTGATGGATCTCTTAAATCTAAAGTCAAGACAAATAATTATAGGTTACTTATATTGACGAAATTCTAGTATTCAAACCAAAGTCATTCATGTTATAAACAAAAAGACAACCTTGTGAGCTATTCCCAGTTGGCATCAATCTCAATTTGACAAGGTGACTAAAATATACCCTTGCCCGTATTTAAAATAAAAACAAAAAGTATATTCGAAATTTTCACGAATAAATTTGATTGCCTAAAAATAAGGCCATACTGAAACCACCCACGAAATCTTAGTTAATGCGTAATCTCAAACAGACTTATACATCAAATATTAGTAAGTTGGAGCTGTCACTATTATATTATTATTGAAGTATAAACCACCCTCATCTTCAATAATTCAACACATGTCATTGGATAGCACCATTTGCGCACTAGTAATTTAGAAATGAGTCCTCAATAAAAGTGCATGATTGCTTAACTACTCGACATTGTTTAGTTTACCTACCGAAATAATTAACCTGGGATGGATAATAATTTGAAATTTTAATTCGATGTTTAATATTCTTTCTATCAATATGCCGACGGTCCTTATGACGATATAAAATTGAATATTTTCTTCTCTCCACAAATAGGAATGTTTAGTAACCACTTATCATGATGATCCATCACCAAGCCCATAATTAACTGCCACAAGATTGTTCCAGTTTAATGAAATCTAGAAAGAAAAAACGATGAACTGATAAAATTGGTTTGACATAACCATTACCATTATTATTTATCTGTCTATGGTGAATTGGATTGACAAAATTGCATTTGGAAAGTACAACAATGGTGAACAAATTGGTTTTCTTCCATGAATTGTGTACATTTCCTTAGTCATAAAACAATCTTGTAAGTTGTAGTCCTTTCTCTTTATCGTAGTTTCGTAACGTCAAATCATCAATTTCAAATATTTGGCATCTAATCTCAAACAACATATTTTCATATTGTTGTTCATGGGCATATCACATCATTTTTTTAGTGGATTTTTCTCCTTTTGCTTTCTCTCAACCTTCTTCCTCAAAGTCACTTGCCCCACAATATTTCCAATCAACCTTTTTCTTTTAACTTAATTTCTTTACCTCCTCCTTTACTTTTCATTATCTGTATTTTCCCATTTCTCTCTGACACAAATGTATGAGTTCGATGCAAAAGGAAAATAGAACAAGGGAGCAAACAAGTTCATTGTTCACGTTTCTACTAAAAAAAATAAAAAAGTTCATTGTTCACGTGCTATTGATTGTTCATGTCTCCCCTATTGTTTGGCTATAAAGGTACAAAGCAACGATAGTCTGTATTAAAGAATCAATTTAATGATTTTAATATCTTTAACATGTCTCCTCGTAACCAGAGTGAATGATGTATCAGGCAGTCTAATTGTGCTAAGAGACACAACAAGACTTAATTGATTATTAATTAAATGAGAGGCGGTGAGGATCAGATCCATGACACCAAAGCTCTTATAATATTATGTAAAGAATCAATTCAATTCAAAAATTTAAGCTGTTGAATGAAGTTACATTAATAATTTTAATATCTCTAACAGTTAATTAGTTTGATTTTTTTTTTTTTTTGTAAATAACTAGTTTGATATTTTTAATATGAACAATTAATTACTTGATGATGTAGTAAAAAATAGTTGATAAATTATATTTTTCAAACATATTTAACCAATAAATACCTATATATAAACTAATACATTTAAAAGAGATTGGTCATAAAATTGTGATTAGTCTATGCAAGAATTATTTCCCTACATCCACAGCTAAGAGAGAAAGAAATACATCCATCTCTCTTTATTTAAAGCAAATTTGAACACACTGCACAGATTCAATAGATGTCAATTTTTACAAGGAGGTATTTTCTGTAGTTCTTATGGATGTATGACAAAAAATTTCCGAGACAGAAATGAAAATCCAAAGTAGTTTACTCTTTTTTTATGAATACTAGATCACAATATTCCATCACATAGTCTAGTCTCTAGCGAATACTATACCAATTGATACAAACATTGGAAGAGCCTTGTTCCAAAAGTTAGCTTATAAAGTAAAAAAGTCCAAAATTCATATAAACCTCTCTTATGTTTCCGATAACTCCAAGTTTCATGCCTTGGAACTAAATCATAACCCTCTCCAAGTTCCTACCCTCAATTTCTGTCTTATCATAACTGCAATCATATGCTTTTCAGTGTTCCTTTTTAAAACTTTAACATTGAATGAAGTGAAGAATCCAACGCATGGAGAAATTAATTATTCTCCTATCTTTATACATAATAAGTGATCATAAGCCTGCTGATCTGTTTTTGTCTTGGCATAAGCACTGCAAAATGCTTGTAACTTTTAATAAAATTGTGAACATATAAATATTCCAATAAAAAGTGAAAACGTTCACCTAATTATTATTATTTTGGATAAACAACGTTCACCTAATTTGTACCTGATGCTCTTCTCTCCATGCAGAGAAGTTGTTGAAAAACGGTCACGGTAGAACTTCAACTGAAGCAATAGGGCCAGGTACAATTTTTGGCTTTTAAAGTTGAAATAGTATCTTCAAACCCTAATCTCTCCCCTAAATTATATATATTCACCTTGAGCCATGACCCTTTTGTGCTGCCTTAAAGTTGTTCCATTTATTTGAGGTTCTTCATATATTGCTTTTATATAAGCTTTCTGTATGTCAGCAACTTAAGACATTCATCTTTGCACCTTTTAGTGTTGCAAATCAAGTTTATTCAATTATTTATTTCTTAAATAAAGCTTGATGCTTTATGGCCTGGGTTTTGTTAAGCAGCATTAACTTTATGTAGCAGGAAAAATAGAGGGGAGAGGAATTGCAAAAGAGATGTTCACACACACATAGCCCTTATTTGGAAAGTAGTGTTCTCTTATTGTGACATTCTTGAGCCTTGAAGTAACTTGAGTCATAAAAATCAGTAACCATGTCTGCCCTCGGGCGCTACTTAGCTCAGTTCATCAATTGACATCATGTTCAGGATCATTATTTTGACCAGTCTCCAACTTGAGACAGTTAAAAATGAGTACACATGTAAAAAACTTGGTCATATACAAAGCTAGTTGGGAAAGACAGAAAATGGAAAGACCCGGATGCTAAGAAGCTAGACACTACTACACTACTCATTTGAAAGTGACAGAAGAATATACCCTGCAACTATCTGTACAGAATAATTTACAGTCATTGGACCCACAAGGAAAGTGAAAAAGGGTAAGGAAAAAAAATTGATAAGGCACAGGGTAGAGAAGAACAGAAAAGAGCCTCTCTTGCTACCTTTATAAATACATAAGATGGCCTTAAGACTGCTTTCTGACAATCTTAACACTGCTGTAGAAACGCTTGAGATCTTTCATAGCCTTTTCCTCTATTTGAATAGATCGAATCGAGGACGGTGTTTCCACTTCAGGCTTGAACCAGCGGCTCACCCCGGTTGCTTCAGATGGTGAGCCTTGACCAGCGGCAATAGTAAATCCAGCTGTTCTAGTCTTTGGGCTATGGGAAAGGTTTTGTTGTTTCTTTCCCTGTTTACAAAACAACATCCTCAATTGAGCACTAGACACTATGAGAAGTAAAATAAAACCAAAATGCAATCAAAATATGCATAGGCCAAGAAGGCATAAAGAATTATCACCCACTGGTTCAAAGCAGATATTACACAATTACAACACACCGACATGGAAATAATTAAACACATGAAAGGAAGCCTTAATTCACAAACCTGTTGCATTTGGATGTGCCTTAAAGATGGCTGAGAGAGTTGGGGAGGGGTTGCTGAAGCAGCCCAAGGAGGGGTACTTATTTCTCCATCAGATACCTGGGAACTACGAGTTGGGGCAACTGGTATTGGGCTGGAAGGAAGAAATGAACACAACTTTATTTTCCCCCCACTATCAAAATCAGAAGGATCTTCCAACTTATCTTTACTACCAGATGGCTTGTTTCCCTTTATTATTTTGCTCTGTTCATCCTGGATTTCGCGAAGAGAAGCAGAACCCTTTATGAACTTGGCCCCACCCCATGCAGGACCATCATTTCTTGGTGACGGTGGAGGTGGAGCTGGAGCCACCTCTTTCGGGGCTTCATCAAGAGCACCGCTCAGAAACATAGAAAGTCCACCCTTCTTGCTCTTCTTCTTAGAAATCTTTGGTGACTGACCCTTATCTTTGAGCAACTCTAAAGCATCTTTCTTCAGTACAACAAGAGCTAAATTTTTCGCACCCTGGTCTGTTGCTGTCTGTTCGCACATGGCATCCTCTTCCACCTATCAAAAATTGAGAATTTTGAGCAATATAACATATGAAAGGAACTAAGCAAATAATTCTTGTCGACAACCGAAAAGAAAAAGACAGGAACTTCTTGAAGACATGTTCTTCAAAATATAATAATATTCATGTTAGGGTGTGGAAGGTGTTCCTCCAATTTCAAAATCTCTTCAAATGGGCCTTTCTTAGCATGTATAACTAGTTAATCATCTTGGTTAGCCAAAAGGACTAAATGACTTCTGTATAAATATATATTCTAGAAACAAGGATATGATATTGCATATATACTCTTCTAAAATGAAAGTTTTAATACCTACGAGCCTGCAAATAGGCTCCAACCAGATTGACTGTTTTACTAAATAAACAAATCCCCAGCCAAGATCTTTATTAACAGTGCTTTCAGACTGCATATCTAACCCAGAGATGTTCATCAATGGCAAATACCCTCAAATAAGGGCTTAATAAAAAAAACTATCATTGATCTGTCTATAGCTGTCTTTATCTAGTTCACAATTACTTCTTGCTGGAAACTGATACGGTGAGTCCCAAAGTTTACTCTAGGAGGCGTCACAGGAGAATATGTGGAGTAGCTGACTCAGCAGAAGAGATTCTAGAAGGGAATTCTGTTAGAATTGAAGGCCAAGAGAGAGAAAGGAACGATGACGTGGCCAGGGAGAAGTTGGTTATTTGAAGCGTGGCGAGGGAGGAAGGAAGGCAGACTAGAATTTGGAACTTGGAATTGGGAGAGAATCAACACCTCTCAAATTGTGTTGAATTGTATTTCTTTCTTTGTTTACTGTTCTAGTAGTTAATCTTTTAAATTCCAGTATTGTAATTCCGTCAATTAATATCAGAAAACCCAGAAGTTGTTGCTTCTGGACCCAAATCACTGTGTTCTTCTATTTTTATGTCATATTCTGAACCAATTGTATCAGAAACCTCGAGTCTTGACTCAAGAAAATATAAGCAAGAAAAGAAATTAAATGGAAATATAATTTCAAACAATGCTTTCAAATAGTATGACAAACACATTGGAAGGAAACCAACCTTTGAGCTAGGAACCGTCATGATGTCAATGTCCAACAAGTCCTCAGATTTGGGAATCACTTCATTTTTAGAATAAACAGAATCTATTTCCGTCTGCACAGTGCTTGATTTGCTGCTCTTTCTCCTTTGTTTTTTTGAAAGTTTACCTTTCTTACTACTTTTCCCTTCTGGTAAAACAGAAGCCGATTCTTTATTCTGTGAAGTCTCAACAGGAATACCTAGCTCTGCAAGTGAGCTCTCAAGTGCTGACTTAGATTGAAGCTTCGCAATCTGCTGGTCATCGAGAAGATGTCCATTAGACTGCTTAGCTTCAAGCATCTCAATCTGCTGCAACTTCTTCCTTATAGCTCGAACTACTTTAGAGATTTCTTTATTGGGATCATCATTGGGCAGTAGAAAGGAATCTATTTTTTGGACTTTATCCAATTTCAGTGCATACATTTTCATGGATTTGTCACGAGTCCTTTGAAACTCGTTATCACTATCATCCTCTTCACTATTAATGATGGCAGGAAAAGTAGCAGTTGGAGTAGGAAGCCGACGGTGACTCCATGGCTCGGATGATCTCTGGTCTAACAACCTCTCAAGGTTCGCCAGAATATCTAGTGAGGCACTTGCTACAGCATGTGATGAAACTGTAAATATATAATCAAGGTTGCGCATGACAATCTCCTGAAACCAGTAAATAGTAAACGCTTTAATATAACCAACAACCATATCATGTAAGATATACATATCCAACTAAATATATCGGCAAATACCAATTCAATTACCAGGACGCATCCATGATGGTAGAATTATATAAGCTGTAAGGCTCAAGGTAACTACTTTAATGTTAAATTTCTCTCATGATATAACAACACCTGTATATTGTACAGAATATAAAAAAATTTGTAAATTAAAATATATAAAATTTTTTTTGTAAACTTAAGACATAAGAGGCAAAAAAATAATAATAACAATTAAAGTCACAGCAGAGGTTCAAATAAAGTAGAGCAAAACATAACTTTTCATATGTTTCTTTTAGTTTCTGCCATAGATTTCCTCAATTTTCTAGTCCACAAAAAATGCAGGTCATCCTTTCATATTCAAAATTCACTATAACTTTTCATTTTACTCTTTCGGTGATTCATATAAAAATTAAAAATAAAGTGAAAAATACTTTCTTATTATTTTAATTTCTAGTTTCAAAAATAATATTAGAAATGATTCATAAATTCTTTGTGGACAATGATGTTAATTTAAATGAATGAACACACACTAATCAAGTACTACCCTCATATAGATGTTGCATTTTGGAAACAAATGAAGAACTGGAGTGGCCATTTTTGTCATGTATTTAGGTGTGTTTTCATAACATTTTACAAAATATTTATGTCTTTTCATTGATGTAGCATTTGATATTTATTGCTTTTGTTCAAACACAACTTATCAAAATAAATTTGCATTTCCATTTATCACACACACAGAAAAAACTGACCATGTACAGAGTTATTATGATATAGAAAAGAGAAATATTATTACTAATTAAAAAAGGCCGTACATAAATATGATTCAAGAATCAATGAGAATAGGCTTAAAAAATGCCCATAACAGTGTTATTTCTACTACACATTTTCTTTTTGAATTTTGAGAATTAATAATTTAATAAAATATTGTACTTTTATAAAAATTAACAAAAGTTTGAACTTTTATTAAAGAAAATGTTGTGGATAGAAAGAAATCTACTTTCTTCAAAGCAAGAAGCAGAAAGTCTTGTTTCTATTGTTGCTTAATTAAGAGAAAGCTTGACAACATAATAATAATTTGTTCAATTTAAGTTCATATTATTCTTACTATACTTATTATAACAGTTTTGTAAAAGTGTCTGATGAATTTAAGGCTGTGACTTTTGAAGTCATGAATTTATTGCCAATAATGAGATGAGTTCTTTACTATTATTATATTTATTATCAATAAATAATCAATTTGGGTTCATACTTACACTTGTCAAGATTTTAAATGACAAGCATGTCAAATTGAGATCTTTAAAGTGACACATGTCAGCATTTCTTTCAGGTCTTAACTTGTGTGTGTGTTTTCAGTGGCATATAATTCAAATGTTAAGAAATAATAAAATATTACATAACGAATCTGAACAAGAAGCAAGAACACCACTCCCATTTGATAAATTGTATTGCAAATACTTTGTACAGAAGTCAAGATCATTACCTCACAATACTTTTTCAAATCATCTGCTCCAAGAGAATCAGCAATCTCAAGCAGTTGTATGGCATTCCGTGGCTCCACTAGATACTCAGCCGCTACTTTTTCACAAAGGCTTTTTAAGCTGGGTATAGACCTCTGCCCAAAAGAATCAAATTGTGCAGTAGATACCATATTATTGGAATCCACATCCTCAAATAAAATGTCTTCATTTAACTCTTCCATTTCATCCATGTTATTCAACTTGAGCTTCTGAGAATTATCAATCATGTTGGGAGGGTAGACAGGATGATAGAGGGAAGCCACAAATAGTAAATGCGTTTCACCAACTGAAACTGAAGTAGCCTTCTTCACACCATGCAACCGAGTTGCAACAGGTGGCTTATCCTTACCTTTCTTCCCATCCCACCTGTAAACATCACCTGTAGCTGTAACTGCTCCGGTCCAGTACTTTCCAGCAGATATGCTCACCATATTTCTTCCACATATAGCATATAACTGTACATAATTTTTTTAAAAGAGAAATGTTTCTAATCAACATGTTTGTCAAAGCAAAATCAGAATGTATGTGAAAAGAGAAATTCAGAGAATAAGAACCTGTTGGCATCGAAGTTCAGGATCGGAGGAGACCCAATAAAATAACGCACCATCGTCTGTAAGAGCCATGCTATGTACCATTCCAGCAGCAATAGAAACCACATGAAGTCGTTCCATGCGATGAAACTTTAAAGGAGTGCTTCCACTTTTCTTTAAGTTCCTAGTAATCACTACACGTTTCGGAGTAACAAGTCGGTGACCCCAGGTGTATACCTGCAAAACAATGAAAATTAGAAATTAAAAATGAAAACTCGAAACTATTATTATTTCCCAAAAAATAAATTAACTGACATATAACTAATCATGATAAAATGTTTCATATCCATGTACCTGAAAAGAATTATGTAGTTCAACTTGAACATAATTTTAGGAAAGAATAATATTAGTGCCCAAAAACTTAGGTCTTATCACTCTGAAAATTGTTTATATTCCAAAACAATGTGATGCAGGAGTAGTAGAAAAGAAAATAATTAAATCTTTATGATTTCAAGATATTTTAGTTAATTTTTTCTGAGAAGTATTTTAGGTCAGATTATGCTAATTAAGTGTTTACGTGTCTTATTTGTAAGGCCCAAGTAGTCTTAATGGGCTACCTAAGTCCCAAATATGAAGATTGTAAATACAGTTTCTTACAATTAGAAGAAATTGAATTATTAACGAAATGACAATGATCTGAAAATAATTACCTCTCCATCAGATCCTAACACAATGGTATGATATTTTGCAGCAGAAACACTAGTTAAAGTCTTCCCCTTCAAGGATTCAACCACACGTGGGGTGTAATTAGATGCTGAGTTTGAGGTGCCATAACCAAGCTGACCCTCTCTATTGCAACCCCAAGTAAAAACTTCACCTAAATCAGAAACTACAGCAGTGTGCTTGTTTGCTGCAGCAACATCAACAATTTTTGTCCTTAAAGAAGATACTCTGCGAGGCGTGGGTTGTGTATCAACAGAAGTGTACCCAAGCTGTCCCTCTGCATCATAATGAAACTAGAAAATATTGATGCTAATTCTGTGTCACTCTCATATAATTTCATACTGCAGAACAAAGAATTACCAAAAACAACCTAATTCTTTCACAATTAATCAATGATAATTGGGAGAAAATCATAAGTATACTTATTAAAAAGCAGGGCAGGGATGCAATAGAAAAGATTGTTGGTTTGCATCCAGTGAAGTAGTTCACAATCACAAGACTCAAAACTGATATGAATATAAAATATCGCCAAGTTTTACCTCTATTGGATCCCCAAGTGAACACTTCCCCACCCTGCGTAGCTATAACGGTATGATGCTTAGCTGCAGCAATTGCCATCACTCTGCGGGAACCCAGACCAGAAGTCACCTGGCGGGGAGTGATGACAGCAGCTTGACCACTGCAATGAGTATAACAATATAAACTCGGATTGAAAATTGTCCAAAAGCATAAGCTGATGACAATCATATCACCCCCCTCACCCAAAAAAGTTTAAAAAAAGATAAAACACTTGCAAGAATGAACTGAAGTTCCCATTTGCTCGTGCCGTGAAATTTCTAATGTCGAAAGTTAATAAGAAATTAAGAATCACTATTTAAAAATAAGAAAAAAAGCTGGTTTTTCTTCTAACTTGTTATTTTAACAAAAGCTACAAATACCTGTTTCTCTTCAACATGTATAATAATAGACTCTGCCGCCACATAAAATCAATTTTGGTTCCCAGCAATATACCACCAAAATGCAGTTAAACATCAAGAACAAAAAGCTTGAGACTAAGTGTTTAAAACTGGAAGCCAATTAAAAAAGTGAACATGCAAATACATGTCCTACATCACAACCTGTCAATACAATTATGAGCAACAGAGAATGTTGATTGCCAAATATTGAATACTAAACTTTAATTTATTTATTTATTTTTTCATTTCAAAGGAGTATTTAGTAAGATGGTCAACCGGATTCTCATGCAAGGTATGAAGAGGAAAACAAAGAAATCTGTAGAACTAACTCAAACCAAATTCTTCATATATTCAATATACATGGTAACACCAGTACTAGCAAAAGGCATGTTCATCTAGCTTTATACAGAAACAGAAAATATACCTGTGTATATCGAAATCAGGATGCCCTAGACGACCTCCCCTTCCAAATCCCCAAGTATACACTTCTCCACGAGCAGTAAGTGCCACACTATGGAACTTCGCTGCAGAAATCAGCTTTATGAACGAACCACTAAGTGAATCAACTTTGCATGGCAACTTTTGAATATGTGCATTTCCAGTTCCAAGCTGATAATTTGCACCACTGCCCCAACTAAAGACCTCAGTAGCCACTAAAGATGCACCAAAAGTCATATTGTCATCCTATACGACTACTTTCAATTGGCAACAACAATCCAAATCATAACAAAGTAGTCAAGGCACCACAATTTATACCTGAACTGCATTCATTTCCCAAAACCTGAGATACAGAACCAGATAAGAGATCTACAGGTATTCGAGATTTGGAGTCCTCCAATGTCATAGAGGCACCATGCTGAAGAAGGATGCTTGCCACAGCAAGATGTCCAAAATGCAGAGCCCTGTGAAGGCTACTCCATCCAGATTCTCCATCCTGAAAATAAAACAAGTTTTAGCAATAATGGATTCAAAGAGACAAAGAACAAGTTAGTTTCTCCTATATTACAGCTTATCATCAGTATGAAAACACTATGAAATAATGATAAGTTTTTGGGCTAAACTTCTAGACAAAAGTCAAACACTCAGAAACTATAGTAGAAAGATATCCCCTTTCCCCAAGCCAGGCTAGCAGGTGTCTTTGATTTAATGATACATTTCAAAATGTTGAACCACAAATGAAATGCAAATAATCTATAATACAGCAAAAGATTAATTTCCAGATTACTTGTTTAGTGAAGGAACATCAACAATTCATTTCAATCCTAAGAAGCCACTCAAACAGGGATTAAAGATAAGGGAGGTTCAACTGAGATGGATTAGCCTTGTAGTACAACATATAAATCTACATGTATCAATGCTAAACAATGAGACTATTGAGTACAATGCTTAGGTGATTAATCAATACACGAAAATGATAAGCCAAATGAAGAAGATATGACCACCAGGGATGTAAAAACTATGACTCCGCATCTGGATCAATGGTCAGAAGATAATTATCATGGAGGATCCCAATTAAGATCATTTTTGGATTTCAAGAGGCTAAACCTCAGAAATTCAGATTAGAAATCAGTCTAAACATAGTTTTATTAATTCTTTACCCTACCAACTTACCAAGGTTTTGGATCTAAGTAGCAACAATAGAAGATCTTTGCATATTTAGGTGAAAAAACAAAGAAATTATTTGAATGTTACTACTTTCCATCTTATAATATTGATACCAATAATTCATTCCAAAATAATAAATAATTTCCAGAACAGAGAAATCTCATGAGGACATTTCATTTCCTTACAAGTTAGGGTTGACAGTTTTATGACAACAATATTTTTTTGGTGATTGTATTTGTCATCACTACATTTTACAGCTCATTAAATTTAATGGAATATCCATCAATGCAATAAAATTTAAACATTAGCAAACACTACATATCAACGCATGAACTTCTTAGGCAGCTTTAAATTCATCTTAATTTATACACACATATTTCAATCATTTTCTGAATTCAGTTAAGGATAGATCGCAGCAAAGTAGTTAAACAATCATCTATCAACCATTCAATGTGTGAAATGTACAAAAAGTGATTAGTATAACATGTAGAATGATCATTACAAGTAATAATAAATAAACAATTATCCGTTATGGTCTTGACTCTTGAGAACTAAATATCAAGAAACAGTCACAGAACCAATGCTTCTTAAAGAAAAGGGCAAGCACATATCTGCAAAACTAGAAAATTCAGAAAAGAGAAATTGTCATACTCGGGCATCAGGATCTGCACCAGCTGCAAGAAGCCTCCTTACAATGGGAATGTGGTTTCTCCAAGTCGCAATATGAAGAGGAGTCAGCCCAACAGTGTTCCTCAAATTGATATTGCCTCCACTCTTCTTCAATAGTCCCAAGGCCAACTCTACATCTTTCAAAGATCCTTCTCGAACAACAAGCCATAGATCTATCTGGGATGCAGCACATACGATTCTGCGACCTGTTGTCTGCAAGTTCTGCTTTTGTGCTTGTGGAGAAACAGCTACGTCCATTATTACAAAGTGTGCACTCCGAGTGTGTTAGTTATCTTTCACAATATTTTATCTTAAGTCTGAAAGGAGATTCCAATGGTTCAGCAGTTATATTCCATTAATCCATTACCTGATAATGTCAAGAGCCAGATTCTCAAAAACTACTTTACTCTACCAAACTACAAGAACACCTAACAAAAATAATTCTGGCCCTTGAGTCCTTGATTCTCACTAATCCATGGTAATGTGTTCTAGTAATTACATCAGCTAGAGATATCCAGTTACAAGTGGAATTGGCCCTCTGCTAATCTACCACCATCAACATCGTCATATCCACCATCTTTATCATAATATTATCATGCACACAAACAAGTTGCTGCAACCATTGACAAATTCCAGCATGGTTCACAGGCCACAGAGAAATCTGCCATAAACAGCAACACCGATGTAATTCATCTATTGATAAGACAAAACTTGTGGGAAAATAATAATTTTTAGGGAAGAAAAGCATACAAACATGCACAGGCAACTAAAGTCCCCTAAAACATATAGCAGTCTCTTAGAGCATATAAGTTGCTGACAACCAACCACAAATCAAACAAGTCTTAAACTTGAAGTCACTAAATTGATCCTGTGAAGTGGAAAATAGGTACCATGCAAAATGTACTATAAATATAACTTCATAACAAGATCACAACTGATGATTATGTACTCCTCTAGTCAGAATTGTGTATTGAAACCAGTGAGACCACCAAATTCTTCCATTTGCTGAAAATACAAGATCTACAGGCTCAGCAGTTCACAAGACTAATGTGAACAATCATCCTACAGATTATTAGAAGCGAATAAAAATTAGACATTAAAGCAAGCCCTTGGGGGAGAGAGGAGGGGGGGTGATACAAATTTTGAAAGGAAAATAATGAATAATGAAAAATCAAATGCCATGAATCTTTTATCTCTGAGGAATTTCCTACTTGATCTATGCAGTTAAAAGCTAATTCATTACTACCACGCAAATACTGTTTTTGAACTCAATAATTAGCCAAAAAATTGAATCAGGAAATGACAATAACCTCAGAACAAACAGAGAGTTCCAAACAAGAAAAAAGATACAAAGTCCCAGTTCCACCCGGTAAAGTACTAAAAAAGCAAACTTTGACACAAAATGAGGACTCCCTCCAATGCACAACGCACTGTATCTCAAAAATCATAACAAGATCAAGACAAATAGTTCAAATCCATCATAAATCACCACTGTACCCAGTGTCCAAAAACACAACCTTCAACAAGGAACACGTGGCTTAGAAACAGAAAAACGGCAATGTAACACCAACCCACATGGAACATTTTGCTGGATCACCCCACCATACCCAAATAATTATTTTCCACAGAAAATTTTACAAAAAATAAAAGCAAATTGAAGATGCCCAGATGGCCAGAAATGGAATTAAATTGAAAAGAAAATCAGAAGTGAAGAAATAATGGGAAAAATGAATGCATGAGGCTCACCTCATAATATGGAAACTCAAAACTCTGCTAAGAATGTGGAGTATGTCTAGGAAGTTAAGCTGAGAAATATAGATGGTGATTTTTTTTTTTTTTTTTGATAACATATAGATGGTGATTTTTGTCATCAAAAGAGTATCGAAACCCAGAATATACCTTCTCTCACAAACACCAAAGCCGTAAGCCCATAAAAAATAACATAATAAAAATTAAATCTTTATCTTTAAGTAAGTCAATTACCTTACAAAATTTCTCTGTAGAGAGAAACATATGGATTGCAATGAAACGGTCTCGGTCACAACGGGGTCAATTTCGGAATTTCCCCTGGATTTTTTTTTGGACCAAACCGCCCCTGAATACGCGACCGCAAGACGTTGGTTTCAACGACGAGGTCTGAGTTGTCGTTTCCACCAAACTCTCTTTCTCCGCAAAACAAGTGTGGAACTACCAATGACACGTGGCCGATTCAGAAGCCGCGCGTGGCGCGTGCTTATAAAGATCTGAGTAGTTGGACTTGGACCCAGAAAAGAATATTAAAAAAATAATAAAAGTGTTTGTTATTTTAAATGACATAACACTCTGTCCTTTTAAGAGAAAGACAGATACAGAAAAAAAATTATTTAAATTTTAAATTAAAAAATCACTCACTTTCTCTCTCTCTCATAATTTCTGTTTTTCTGTGTCTATCTCTTTACTAAAATGACATAACTTTTATCATTTAAAATGACAAACACCCGACCTTTTTAAAAAATATAACGTTAATTATATTTCTATTTGAAGAAAAACACCATATGCATGTTTGAAACGTGTATTTAGTCAATTAATTAATTTTTAATGTTATTAACTTTAATGATTAATTTAACTAATAAAATAAATATTTCAAAATTTATGTAATAATTTATATTTTTATGAAATTAATGTAATCAATATTATTTCTTTCTTTTTTTGCGTAACTGATCTTAATTACGGGTTCGACTCTTTGAGTCGCCTATGAGACTAATCCAGAGTTCGGGTGCGAGTCCAAAGATTACGGTACTTAAGCCCCTCCCCAGATGATGTTGGTGTGATTCGAACTGAAATTCTCTCCCACCACTCAGTTTCCATGCTATCAACTGAGCCACCACATTTGGGTAATAATCAATATTATTTCGGACCGATACGATTGATTTTGTATTTTTCATAAAACAATTTAAATATTTTTTAAAAGAACTTTACTCAAACGAGACGCATGCATGCATTAATTATATTAGCTGTTAAATAAATGTTTATAAAGTATACATTAGATGTATCATATATAAGCAGATAAAATAATTATATATAAGTACGTAAATTGTAAACATATACCATGGTTATAGGCTTATAGCCGTAAGTAATGACGCAAGCTATTTTGTGGTTTGTGAAAGTCCACTTTTCTCGTAGGCAGCTAAGAACTGTTCAAATCACGAAAAAGAAAATTTTAATTGAAATTGGGGTGTATTAAACCAAAAGAAAGATGAGAAGAATCTCTCACTAAGCACAAAAATTTTATTTTTAATTTCAAAAAGTCTATTGAAGAATCTAATTTGTGACTCGATCTTTGAAGCACACCCCCCCTACCAAATATATCACCCCTTGAGTTAGGAAATCCGGTCTTAGCTCTAAGCAAATGTTAGGTGTTTGGCATGAAAATTATGTTTGGTGTAGTGATATTAAATCCGGACCGGTCGGTCCAACCGATTGAACCAAGAATCGAACTTCAATAGTTCTGGTTTAGTTATTGGATCAGATCAACAATTGAATCGGTAGAAAATCGGTTAACCGGTTAAAGATTAGATCCAGCCAACATTTACCTGGTACAATTTTAGAATTGAATCGATTTTTTGAATTTTAGTGCAAAATATGTTAAATTTGCAAGTAAGAGTATTCAAAGTTCAAACCCTATACCTTTGGGTTCGGTTGGGTTGGGTGGATATAAGCTCAATCACTACACCAAAGCAATTTTCTTATTATGGTACAATTATTATTATATTTATTATATATTAATATATGAATTTAGTTCGATTGATTAGACCAACCCAATACTTTAATCAGGTCGATCACCTATTCGAATTTAATAACATTGGTTTGATGACTTGTAAAAAAAAAAAATATCTTAACTTTGGACCATTATTTCGTTAGATAGAATTTGAAGAAAACGGAAAAAAATAATTTATGAGAGAAGTAATTCAATTCAATGTTTGATCATCTTATCGAATGAAATGGCATGGTTTTGACTTCTGATGTAATAATATATTGGAAATGTTTCTCTCATGATACATGAGAAATCTTATATTATGTTACATACTTATCGAAATTCGAGTCAACATTTTTTTTTCTTTTTTGGTTATGGAACCCACCTAATTATGTCTCTACATAAGACAATGTTATATCATGTACATGAGAAAAATATTGCCCGTAATATATTTCCAAAAAAATTTGGGATAAACTATTTTCATCTTTTGGGATTGGTCTCTTACTTGGCTCCCCTTGTAATTGTTAAGATGTCTGTTTTAGTCATATATAATACAACAAAATGTTGTTAAGAAGTCAAATGTTGTTCGAAAGTCATATATATCAAAGATCGTTTAGTTAAACATTTGATTCTATTTGTCATTATTTTCATTAAAGAATCTTATATCGTTTCTAAAACATAAAATTAATTTGATTTTACTCTCTAAAAGATAATTGACATCAATTTGGTATATAAAATATGCACGTAATTTCGTGTTAGGCTTTAAATCTCATGAAAAAAATTTAAAGTTTTAATCATGAATCTACGTCAAACTTCTGATTAATTCATAAAGAACTTATAAAATTAACCAGGGGTTAATTTCTAAAAAAAAAATCTTATATCATTTCTAAAAGATAAGATTAATTTGATTTTACTCACTGAAAAATAATTGACGTCGATTTGATATATAAAATATGAAGGTGATTTCATGTTAGTTTTTTGTTAGGCTGATTAGAATGGGATCTAACAAAGTCAGTAGCAAGTGTAAAACTTTTGTGGGATATGTGATGATAGTCATTAGGGAGAGATTCTTCCAACAGAGTAAGAAGAGAGAGAAAAGAGGTGAGAATTTAGGAACATATATAGTGCATTATGCTATGTGAATTCGCACATTCTTGTTACATGTCCACTCTATAATTCAGCTTTTCAAGGATATTTTTAGTATATGCTTTGTGCGAGAGATGTGTAGGGTTGTGTGTCATTAGAAATAGATTACAAGTTTTGGTCGATGATAGAAGAGAGAGAAAGTGATTTAAGAGATGAATTAAGACATCTCCATAAAGGTCGAAACCAAAATGCTAAAAAACATGTCTCGAAAGCACCATGACATGTGACTTTGTTAGATGGTATCATAATGAGATGCGACACAGATATTAATGTGATGCAACTTTTTCACGTTTTAAGGGTTAAATTAGTATTAAAAATCTTCAAGGGCTAACATTATATTTCATTCATGAATCAAAATGATAATTTGTTCTTTATATTTTGTTCACGCACCAAGTGTAAATGCTTTGTATTTAAAAAAATATCAGAGATGTAAATCTTTCTATGTTTTTAATAATATATGTTAGTAGAAGCATATATTAATAACCATTTATACCATTTTCAATTTAAAAAAAAAATATAATTGATTTTTTCATTGTACCCACCTTTTTATGATTATTGTTACGTAAGTTCTATTTTTTTATTTTTAGTAAAGAAGTGCATACTTCCCCTTATATGAAAAATATGCTTTAATTACGGACGACTAAACCTAGATTGATATATCTAAAATTGGGTGATATTAAAAAGTAAAAAGTGAATTTCTTCAATAAATTTTCATATATATTTTTTAAAAATGTTAATAAAACATAAAATTGATCTTAGAAAAGTAAAACTAAAAAAATAAGGTTTAAGCATATGACCTAGCTGATTTTGGCTTCTTCCTTAAACAAAGGGCATATGAGTATTGAGTACAATTGATAGGCACCTTCCAACTTGAATTTCCCCTTTTTATATGAAATTAAAAAAAATGAAACGTACGCATAACCTAATTTGCAATAAACTATTAATTTATACTTAAGTTTCTGTCTTTATCTTGTGGTTGACACCAAAATGCACATGTATTCTTGCTTGTTTTATTAGAAATGATGTAATAACAATATGTTTGTTTATCATAATTAATATTATATATAGAATGAGAATGCAATGACAAATCCTTGCTTGAAGGATGTAGAGCCACGTATGAAGTTCAAAAGCACAAAAGAAATTAAATAGCCAAGAGTTAGGTTAAAATCAAATTTTATAAAATGGGCTTGTTGGAAAGAATATCATCAGCGTTGTTGTAAAACTTGGCCCGACCCGGCTGGGTTGATCCGGAACCCGACGAATCGGTCATCAAACCGATTCGGGTCAAGCATTGGACCGCTCATGCATCGATCCGATCAAACCCGGTCAAAACTGTGACCCAGTCGGGTCATGCATTTAAAAAAAAAACTAAAAAACCCAAATTGTTTCATCTTATCAGAAAAAAATGTAGAAATCAATTTAATTTTTTTTTTTTTGTAATTTTATTTGCTAGTATACTCTTCTACAATGACCTCAAATATTAGTTTCCAATACTGAAGCAATTTGCGAAATAATAAATTAGAGAATATGACATATGTTATTTTAATGTAGTTAAATTTGAAAAATATGAGTTCAATGTCATTGAGAGATATGTTTACGGGAATTCTGAGTTGAAATTTAAATTGACATAGTAATAGCGTACATTTTTATTTATTTATGATTCATGTTTTTGAGCTTATTTAGTGAACCTTGTTCAATTCATTTTAGATATGGATAATATAATTGAATTTATATATTCATATTTTTATATATCTATATATCCGGGTTAACCGATCAGACCCGTGACCCACCGGTCCGACCAGTGACCCAATAATCCAGTACCCCGACTGGATCGATGCCCGGGTCGAGTTTAACAACACTGATCATTAGGATATCTTTATTATTTGTAAAGATCTATTTCCTTAGTTAATTAGGATTTAGGTTAGGTCTGGGCAAAGCTCATTAGTGTTTCTTTATATATTGTACTCTCATGATTAATTCAATATACAGATTTATTTTAATGTTCCTCTCGTCTTTTGTTATTTTACATGGTATCTAGAGACTAATGAGAGGAATCTTTGTCCGCCTTTCCTTACTCTTTTTCATAATTTTAATATGGTTGTAGAGAGATATCATCCTCCGTAAGGGATCGGCTTTCCCGTTTGTTCCCTTTTTCTCTTTCTCTCTTTGCTTCTCTTTTTCTCTCTCATTGATCCATTCTTTTTTCGATGAACCCACTGTTCATCATCTTTTTCCGGATACTATCTTCTTGTCAGTTTTCGGACATCTTTTTCATCCTTATACCTTATTTTCATCGTTGCTGGATCTTTCTCTCCGCAAACGGACGTCCAAACACCATTACCACCGCTTCTTCGTCGCTGTCCACCATCGTCCGATGGCCTTTTCCAGCGAGCCACCTACCGTCATGCTCGTCTCGGCAGCGCGGTCTCGTCCCCCAAAAAGCTTCCTCACGCGCTCTCCCACTCTCTGTGCGTGGCAGCCACACGCCACCTTCCTCTGGCGCGTGCTGCATTTTCGGCGGCCGTTCGCCGTCGACCAAGGGCAGACAAGGTCGCCTAACCATCCTCTTTCCAGACCTGTCTTCACTTTGTTCAAACTACATCGTTTGGGTCATGAGTGTGTGATCTCGCATTCACCAGTTTGCATTTCCAGATCTGTTCATCTTCGGCCAGCATTCGCTGGCGTCCGTCAACACCGTCGTCAGCCACCTCTATTTGAGTTCTGTCATGTGTCGATGCCTTTCAGATCTGTTCATCTACGGCCAGCATTCGCCGACGTCCATCAACACCGTCGTTAGCCACCTCTATTCGAGTTTTGTTGTGTGTTGTTGTCTTTATTTTTGGCCTCCTATTCAAGGGGAGCATTTATCTCAGTTATTTCCTGGTCCGCGGATTTTTTCAGCTAAAGTGGCTCAGTCAGCTTGTATCGCAGTTGCATGAATGTCTTTCCCAGCCCTTTTGGCTTATGTCTTTCTCAGTTGTTGCTTGGTTCACGGGTTTTTCCAGTTAAAGTGGCTCCGTCGGCTTGTATCCCAGTTGCAGTAATGTCTTTCCCAGCCCTTTAGGCTGATGTCTTTTTTAGCTATTCAGATTGATGTTTATTCCAATTGATTTGTTGTCGATTTCTCCAACTTATGCTCTATGAAGCTTCGTTTTAGTTTTCTTTCTTCCCAAGATGAAGTGTCCCTCCATCTTGAGGGGGAGCATTCGAGATATAGATAATATTTTATTTTAGTTTATTATGTTTGTTATTTTTCTTTAGGGTGAGTTGTAGAGTTGTTACAACCCCCACTCGTTTATTTTGATGTTATGTTTCTTAGTCCTTCTTATTCAAGCTTGTTGCTTATGATCTATATGCTCCAGCTTGAAGGGGAGTGTTGAAAAGAATATCTTTAGGATATCTTTATTATTTGTAAAGATCTATTTCCTTATTTCATTAGGATTTAGGTTAGGCCTAGGCTAAGCTTATTAATGATTTTTTATATATTGTACTCTCCCGAATCAATTCATTATACATATTTATTTTAATGTTCCTCTCGTTTTTTGTTATTTTACAGGGCTCTTAATGTTGTCACCTGTTGTGCAAGGCAGGGGCTCATATATTGATGTGTATATAATTAAGTAATTTTTTTAAAAAAAATGTATTTCTTCTTTATAATTATTTATGTTTTTTCCATAAGTTTGACACAAACAGCAAAAGGGATTGGCTGAAAATTATTTGAGGAAAAGTGCTCTGGACCCAATGTAGGGAAGGGTAAGACCTAACAAAAATAAGGCCCAAGCCACCATCAGCAGCTTAATTACACTAGGGCGACATAGCCTCTAAGGCAGCCTATATCGAAGAAACACATATCTAGCATATGCTAGGCCACCAAGTCAGCAATGCTTAGTTTACAAGAAGTCATCATTATGGAAGTCAACAACTCAGACATGTTGGCCATGTCTAAGGGCCAGTGAATGGGTGGCAGTTCCAGCTTGCCACCATACCTATGAATTTGAGGCATGCCTCTTAAGGAATAGCCTGAGAGAGACCACACTTCTCCACCAATCAACATGAATGTTGCCTAATGAAAGGATGTGACAAACAAGACGCTCGATAACTATAAATACAGAGGTCGTTGGCCTAAGTATGTATCTCTCTTGGAATACTTAAATCTCCTTAGTGTTAAACTGACTTGAGCGTCAGAGTGTCATTGCAGGTACCCCAGACCCCTAGTCGCTCAATAACGATCTAGTAGGTCAAAGAAATCTCGCGTATATCTCGCCAACATTCTATCCTATCCCATAAGGTATTCAAGTTTCTCAGCAACAATACAATTTCTCTTCTTCTCCTCATCAACATTCTCTAATCTCAACTATGTGTGATTTGTCTAAGTCACTTTGTTTCTTTTCGTCCAAGTTACTTCTTTTTTTTGTCCAAATTTATTCTCATTTTGTCTAACTCACTTCCTTTTTTCTTTGTGAATTTCGAGAGTATCCCCCCTCTTTTGCACCAAAGATCTTACCATTTCTGAAGTAACTGGAGTTACATCTAACCCAGCCTAATTAGAATTGGACTGATCAAAACCAAAACATAATGAAATGTGATAAAATATCTTAAGACTAATTGAAAAATTTTCTTCATATGGTCATTTTTTTTTATATCTCCCTTTATTTCTTCACTTACCTTTTTAGTTTTTTTTTCCTCCTTAATTTCTTTCTTTTTTTTCCTCTTATTTTTAAAATTTTTTCCTTTTTTTTTTTTAAAAAGTTTATCTTTTAATATTTTTTTATTTTTCGTGCTTTTTTTTTATTTGAATTCATCAACCGTCAAGTTGACGACTCTACCAAACTAATTTGAGATGAAAACGTTGATATTGACAAAACTGTTCCCATGTTTTTTTTTTTTTCCCCTCCTGAATTCAATCACTTTAGAGCATTCAAATTCAATATAAAGAAATATTTCATTAGAGATAATGACAGAGAAAGACCTTTGAATAAATAAATAAAAAGGACATATCTAACACGTGAAGCAAAAATTGATGATTATACAAATTCAAAAATAAAAATCTAGTAATTTAAAACTATATTTTTTTCAAAGTTTTTGTCTATGTATTCAAGTCCACTTTGATTACCCGACAGCCATCATCATATTGGTCAAAAGTGGAGTCTAATAATTTCCATTATTTCGCATGATAGGATCTTAATGATTATATTTACAGCATAATCAAAAAGTGTATGGTTGACTGACCTCGTTAATTTTTTCATCCATGATTACATGCATAGAAATAAAATTCTGTAGTCTACAATATAATTTCCCACATAAATCTTTGAAACGTTGATGACAATAACAGAACAAGAAGAAAGTCTTGCATGCACGCTAGCTAAGTTTTTTGAACTTTGAAAAAAGAAATACAGTTGCATCACACCTATACTCTCCTTTTCACAAAAAAGAAAGAAAAAGCCAAAATTACCAATGCTAAATTGCATAGAAGCAACAGCTAAAACGCCAGAGTGACAAAAGAATACAAAAAAATTGGATTGAATTGAATCACCATACTTGCCAATGTTGCTCTGAAAGACCAAATTGTTTGTTTAACACACAACATGCTCTGAAAGTGATCTTCATAGAGACCTGATGAAGTTACTATGATTACCAAAATTCTGGCCTATGCAGCAGCCACTGATGGTTCCTGCATCCATGAATGAAACAATGTTATCACACAGGATTCAATCAATCAGAGTTGACAATTTAGTTGAAGATTTAAAGTAGGAGCTCAAACTAGCTTTTCCACTCAATATGCATTCTACTTAACAAACAAATTAAGGTTTAAAATTTCATTTATCTTTAAACTGAAATTGCAAGAGAGTATCCAACCTTTGCTGTCAAGTTTGAAACAGCCAAATGAAACTTTTCTCTAGTTTTAGTACTAGCAACATGTCCAGCTTTTGCCACCTTGCTAAAAGCACCATTAAACCATGCTGTTCCAGCAGTCACATATCTGCAGAGAACAAAAGGAAAAGTTTTATCATCAACATCCAAATAATATGCAACCTAGGTTCAAATTAGGCATTAGGCCAGAAGGATCATGCATATTTCATTTCATCTAAATTTCTCTCCAGCTACAAAATCATAATGATTTCTCATAGAAATACAAGTACTGAAGCTGCAATGGAGATCATGTATCATAATCATCCAAACCTGCTTGTTTTGACAGCTGATCCAGTATCATTCAACTTCCTCTCAGCTGCAATAATTGCTGCCATTGTTTTATCTGAAACATGAAGCCTCTGATCCACAGATTTTACTTTCTCATTCACTACAGAAATCCCAACTGTCAATTTCTCTGTCAGTCCAACTCTCTTGTCAAAAGAAATGACCCTTGCAGATGCATTAGCAGTCAACTGATGCTTTTCATCAAATGCTTTAGCTTTGCTCATTGCATCTTGCCTTATTGCTGAACCTTTAGCCAGCACACTTGTAACTACATCTTGTGCTCTACTAAGGTATATTCTTCCATTGGGGGGGCTGGCTTTCTCCTCCTGAAAGAGATGATGTATGGCAAACCATAAAATCAATCAGAAAAATAAAATGTGAACCACTCTAGTAATTGTTGACTATTAGACTATTTATAAAATAAACAAAATGTGTGTTGCTGAAGCATTATAACCAAGTGATGCAAGATAGACATAACGCGAGAAGCCCTAAAAATAGTTAGATTGTTACTTGCATAACTTGACTCAAATAAAAAAATAAAAAATCATGATTGGGCTTTTCTTCTCAAACAGTTGTCTGAATTGCAATGTCAAATTAATCTGGTATATTTAAAATACACTCAAATGTACCCATGAATCCCTCGGTATAATAAAAATAATTTAAACACCCTTTAGTCAATCCAAATGCCCATGGAGAATAGCTCATCAATAAACAAGATCATGTAAAATCTTAAAAATCTGGATTTTTTTTTTGGTACACTGGATTTTGATTTTTACCTCAATATTCAAGGAGATGTTTTCAGAAGGAGCACCATTTATAGCATTTTCTACCACCCTTACTTCCTGCATCAGTTGCCTTTGATAAGTTCCAAATTTCACATCAATATGTGCATAAATGACATTTGAGTTCTTCGTGTACTTACCTGCATCTCAGGATTTGGTACATAGTTCTCAGCTGGAGTTATAATCACAATCTGGTCTACTATTGTTGCTCCCTGATAAAAAGACAACAAAAGTTTCACTCTTACAAGCCACAAATGCAAAAGCTTATAGAAATGGATAAGTTCCCAACAATATCAATACCAAAATGTGATCATGTCAAAAGACAATCAGCCAGATAGGGAAAGGAATTTACTCAATATTAATAAAGATATCGAAATAGACACTTTAAGGAAATACAGCCTTCTAATGTGAAAAAGTTAGGCTTTGTAATTCTAATTGCAAGAAATCTGTCCTTTCAAATTAAAATGCTAGCACAAGCCTAATATACTAAAAACACAAGAGAACTTCTCTATACTTGCAATCTACTTAATTGAAGCTATAAGATGGCATCTTGATTTGTGAGGATTTCAATCTCATAGTTTCCTTCTAGAGTTCAAGTGTATCTGACTTGCACCTGAATCTGGTACACATCATTCACTAGGAGTCACTTTCCTTTTTCTTGAGGTCAGCTGCATTAAGTGAAAGAAATCTGCTTCAGAAACCTAGCTACCCCATATTACCAGATAAGCGATGTTTTCTTAACCACCTATACTAAGATGTGCGATCCTACAATACATCCCGGTACCTAATACTTACCATTAACTTATTTAATAACAAAAGTTATTCCAGTCCACAATGTGCACCATTCAAAAACCATAGCATTCTTAACACTTTCTGCCTATGCTTCTCAGCATGTCCAAGTCCAATTCCAAAACAAGCAACCATCGGCATTGAACAAAAAACAGATGCAGAAAACTAAATTATGCGGCAAACACTAAGTCACTAACTATCACTTGTCGCAAACAAACACCACTTTCTAATTTTCAAAATTAACCAACTTAAATCCAATTTGAGAAGTTCAAAAAATTTAAAAGCATTCACTTTAGTGTCTAATCATCCTTCTCAAAACTGAATGGACCAGTTTCAACATCGGTCACACATAAATTATACACCAAGTGAAAATTTATTCCCTTTCTCTAGACGTAGTCATTATGATTACAAATCGAACTTCATAATTTACAACAACTCCACTCCACTAACAAAATTATACTAAGAAAAGAGACATTACCGATAACAATAATGCAATTTCAAGCGCTTTGGGATCTTTAAATGTCACAAATGCAGTCTTTGATTTCCCATATTCACTGCAACAAACAAACACAAAATATGCAACCATAACATGGATTTGACTTCTCACAGCAAGCATGAAATAAAAAAAGTATAAAAAGGTGCAAGTTGAAGAGCTGAATCCAACACACAGATTGTTTCAATACATAAGAAGAATTCAAATCATAAAACAGAAAACTATTGAGTTTATCTTCAATTAGTTTGCTTAGCTAAAATAAGATAAAAAGGTAAGTAGATTAATGCAGTGCAATTTACACTAAAAGTTTATCTTACACACTGCCTATTTAACCCCCTCGCCCCCAAGGAAAAAAAAATTAAAAAAAAATTATACATTGTCTTATTTTGATTTAATAAATGCAATTTTATATCATTAAAAACAAATTTAAGAGCAACCCCTGATTTCTTGTTTGTCTTTTCTAACGCCCCTTTTTCTTTATGAACATCATTCAATCAGAGGTGTGAAGATTGGAACTAGCAAAAATCGGATTCAAGGAACAAAAAGGGGTAGGAAAAAAAAAATTGGTATAGAAATAAATTACCCACCTCAGGATCTCAATGTGCTCGATTTCTCCAGTAAACGAGAAGAACTCGTGAATCTCTCTCTCACCAGCTAGATTTGAAACTTGCTGCACATGAACCGTCCTCGTCTGAAATAATCAAGGCCAAAAAAAAAAAGACCCAGAAAGAGAAAACCAAATAAGGCTCCAATTACAAGAAGAAAAAATAGAAAAGATGGGATTTTGAATTGGAAGAAGAAGAAATAACAGCTTGAAGTGTAGTTCGAATGCTGTAAAAAATGACCTGCATTGCGATATCAGGCAATAGAAGTGTGAGCTATTTTGCAAAGTGGAAAATGTTTCTGTTTTGAAAACAGTCTTTGAAGAGAGAGAGGGGTAGCGGTTGCTATGTTCAGAGCGATGCTGTGTCACCGAACATAATGAAGTTGCATTGAAGCAGAAACTGAAAATAAAAGAAAGAAAGAGAGAAGAATGTATGATGAGGTTAAGGAATGGAATCATGATGTCCCTAGTCAAAGACCATATCCTCTAATTCCACAATTGTCCCCTTATTTCTTTATAAATTTCGGTGATTAACATTTTTTATTTTTTTATTAAATACAAAAAGAAAATTTGTTAATTCGAAAGTTGCTTTTAAAATATAAGATGAGAAAGGAGTGTCTGTCATTTTAGAAGATGTAAAGTTATATTATTTTAAGCGATAAAAAAAGATAGTTAAAGGAAGAGAGAATAGACAAAAAAATATAAAAATGTGGGTCTCACTTCTTTGTAAAAATGAAATAACATTATGTCATTTAAAAAATAAACATTTTTCCATAAAATAATAATATTAACCCAAATTTTATTCCCACGTCTTCAAATGTAAACTTATACGAGACATTCAATAAGGAAGTGGATCATGTCCTATTAAAATTTTACATAACTTTAGTCATTTTATTTTGGCTTAAAAAAATGTGAAAGTGTTCCTTTATAAGAATGATGTGCTAGAGGTGTCAACTGAGAAATATTTAATATGGTCCAGGATTATTGAATTTTTTTGTGCTTTCTCTCACATCATTAATTTTTTTTCTCTCTTTTTATCTCTGTTATTTTCTTTCTTTTTCAATTTTACCCTCTATTTATACTAAGGGACCACATAAAAAATGGTGGTCCCAGTTCACAAAAAATAATCTCATAAAGTGGGGAAAAATTGATTTCATATTATAATGGAAATTATATAAAAAAACTACATTTATTTCTCTATTTATTAATGATAATTGAATTCGACCTATATAATACATATAAAGATAGATAAATATTGAAATTTTATAAATATCCAATCTCTTCAACAAGGTTATCATTGATATTAATTAATCCAAACTTCTGCACTGTATATGCTATGCCGGCATATTGTATTCATTGTAGTTGTACGCAGCCAATGCGCGGTGGAAAGGTAATTTTCTTTAATTATTAAAACATTAAATTTCTTGCAAAAGTTAGTTGAAATAAAGAGCGACGTCGCTTTCCGAAAAAAAAAAAGAGCGACGTCTACCTCCCTTGAAATGAAAATCCAAGTTTACTTTTTTTTTTTTTTTAAATGATTTTTGTGCTCAGAGAGTAGTACTTTAAAGATATCTTATGTTTTAAAAAAGATTAGCTTGTGAAGTTCAGATAAATTATCTGCAATAAATTTAATACGATGTCGTTTTAGAGCGGAAATCATGGTATTTTTGTAATTTTAATTTATTTCAGGTTATAATAATCTTTATATTTATAATTTTTTAAAATTTTAATACCAAAACGACGTCATTTTGGAAATAATGCAGATAACTTATCTGCATTAATTACAAAAATATTTTTCCCTTTCAAAAATAATAATAATATAATTATCAAATGTGATTAACATTTGGAAATGCTTTATTATCTAAGACTAGATTTGATTATAAATTTATTATTAATAAAAAAGCTTTCGACAAAATGTAAGTAATTCAGTACCCCGTCTGCTGCTTAACCACCAAATAACCAACATCATTAAAACAAGGCAATAATGCTACTAAAGACAAATAGATAGCATTCAATGTACTTTTCACGTATTTAACGACATTGTTTTTCACACAATATATATATATATATATATATAAAAGTCAAGATCATTTTATACCAGTGTAAGTTACATTCTCAATCTTATCCATTGTTTTCACTTATATCTAAGGGCTCTAATTTTTTAGTAACGTGAGCCATTGGATATAAGTGGATCAATAGTCAAGATTGAATGTAACACTTCTAACTCTTACATCGGTGTAAGAATATTCTGCCCATATATATATATATATATATATATATATATATATAGACAAGATCATGTAATATCAAATTCTAATTGTTAATTTTTGTTAATACAATGGTTATAATTTATTAGATTAAATTTATTAATTAATTAGTAATTTTCAATAAATTATAACTGTTGATTGTCGAAAATCAACATTTGGGATCTGGTGTTAATAGGGGTGTTCGCGGTCTGGATTGGATTGGTTTTGTAAGCAAAAATCATCTGATCCAATCCCTTCGGTTTGATCATGTAATCATCCATTTGGTTTGGATTTTTTTTAAATCCGATCTAATCCAATCTAATTTTTTCGGTTTGGATTGGTTCGATTTTCGATTTTTTGAAAATCCTAAAATTTGTTTCATGGTTATTGTGCAAATAACATCTTTTGTATACTATTATCTTAAACGATAATATAATTTCCTTTTTTGGTACTGAGATATAAAGCTTTACACAAATAAAATTTTGTTGATGATATGTGACTAGGTTTTTTCTTGGATTTAGTTGATGGGTTAATAAGTCTTGAGTTTAGAAATTTTTGGGTTATGATTGGGTAAAGATCCAAGTAGGTAGAGGAAAATTAATATATTGGATCGGTTTTCATCAACCCATCCGAAAATCGATCCAATCCAATTAAAATTTGCGATTTTTTCGGTTCTTGATTTTTCGATTTTCGGTTTATTTGGGGGGTTTCGGTCACCGCGATATGAATCAGTTTGGATCGGTTGATGAACACCCTTAAGTGTCAAACTTTTAATCAATGGTTGGGATCTAAGTTTGACACCAGATTTCGAACCGTTGATTTCCACCAATCAACGATTATAATTTATTAGCTTAAACTTATTAATTAATTAGTAATTCTCAATAAATTATAATCATTGATTAACAAAAATTAACGGTTAAGATTTGATATCAAACTAAAAAGTTTGACACTGGTATCAAAGAATCCTATCCTTATATGGTAAAATCTTTTGACATCGGTGTCAAACATTTTTATTTTTATTTTTATTTTTTTTTGTAATATGGTGTCAAACATTTTAGTTTCATACCAGATCCTAACTGTTGATTTCTACTAATCAATGATTATAATTTATTAGCTCAAACTTATTAATTAATTAGTAATTTGACAAATTATCACATTAATTATATATTATCAAATGTGATTAACATTTGAAATGATTTGATTATAAATTTATTAATAATAAAAAAGCTTTCGAACAAAATGTAAATAATCCAGTACCCCTTCTGCTGCTTAACAACCAAATAACCAACTTCATTAAAACAAGGCAATAATGCTTACTAAAGACAAATAGATAGCATTCAATGTACTTTTCACGTATTTAAGGACATTGTTTTTCACACAATGTTTCTCACATTGTTTTTCAAATAGACAAATGACATTGTTTTTTGTTTTTTTTTTCGGTTCCCTTTATTTATAGGGTGCTTATCCATAATTAATCATCTGTTACAGTTTCATCAAACACTATACACGTCACCACCTGGTGTTTATTACAGTAAAGCTGAGTATCTTGCACTGACACCGACACGGCATACGACACAACACAATACTTCAACACATTAATTTTAAAAAATATTAAATTTCACACGTTAGGATACGTTTTGATATTATATAATATTTTTAATTTATGTAGTATATATTATATTTATTATTCAATAATTTAAGAAAAAATAACGCTAAACTTATAATGTCCATCAATTTTATAAATAAACATAATATATCTCAAATGTTCATATTAAACTCAATAAAATCGTAATCGTAATCTAACGAATCTAATAGTTGGAAATCAAAATGCAACGCAACGTAACCTTTAAACCTTTTTTGAGTCTTTGCTACGAGTGTTGGAGTGTCGGGAAGTGTCGGATATGACACGTCAGGAATTTTGAAGTGTCGGTGCTTCATAGATCTACAATTTGACACTAACAACTATGACTCAAATCAGATGGTACGTCCGTTCTCTTCACTTTGACTCTCAATCTTTATTATTTGATTATAATAAAGGAGAAGATTATATTTACAAACTTTTTGTTTACAAACTACACTAAGTATGACCGGTCATACTTCAATCAGGAGTGTATGACCGATCATACTTAATGTAATTTGTAAAAAAAAATTGTAAACGGATCCTTCCCCTATAATAAATTACATTTTGGTCTTATTCTCTACACACTCCATTAAATAAGAATCCTTTCGACTTGAAATATGGCTATTGCACAGATCCAATTTTTTTTAGTTTACCTTGTGTTTATTTTAATTCCATCGAAAGTGGAGGGCGGTGAGGATCGAACTCGTAATCTTATGATCACTGAAGCTCTGACCATATAAAGAACCATTTCAATCCAAAACCTTAAGATATTAGATAAGAACCTTTTTAATGGTTTATATTATTCTCTACAATCTCACACATGATTGGTGTACAAAAATACTTTTTATTCGTATCTAGTGCAATATTATTGGTTATTAACAATAACAAGCAACATCAAAATAGTATGCAAAGGAATTTCTTTTAATTATTGTAATTTACAAAATAAGAAGAACTAGTATCCCTTCCAAAAAATGTACTTTTCAAACAACATAAAAAATAATAATTTTAGATCGTTACTTTTATTACACATATTTTTGGGATTAATGTTTATCATTTTAAAAGAGAAAAAATTGTGTCATTTCAATCAAAATTATGGTATTTTTTGTTTAGAAAAATGATTACAAAATAAAAATTATGGTGGAAAAAATGGAGGTTTTTTTAATTTAAATATTAAATAAATAATAATAATTTTAACTAAATGATTTTCAAGGATAAATATTTTTTAAGAAAATCAATTAAAACATTTGCCAAATAAATAGTAAGTGAATTTTGTGTGATTCCATGTGCAATGATAGAACTTAAATATAAAATTTAGAGGTTAGAAAAGTGAAAAGAAAATAAATGGGTGGAATATATATACATACATATACACACATATATATATATATATATATATATATATATATATATAGTTTATTATTTGTCATATCACATGATATAATGTTATGACATGTCATCCTAAAACTACATTGTTTTGAGTTTGAGGAATTAATGAAAATTGAAGAGTGTTTTACTATTTTTGTTTGTTTATTTATTATATGAATTTTATCAAAATATCC